AATCACCCCCCCGGGGGGGGGTGGCCACACCTCAGTCCCTTCTCCTCCATTCTCCTCTCAGGATCTTGGACACGCATGTACATGCGCCCAGCGTGGGTTTTAAGCCACCGGGTCTGGGATGCGAACCGCGGTCGACTACATGGGAGTCCAGTGACATAGCTATGATGCTAACTGCAGGCCCAACCCACAGATCTTTGAAGAAGTTGCCCATCATGACTCAGTGTTCACATCAGTAAATGGATGGGGCCTGGTACAGATCAACTGCTGACCCCTGTCAGTGACTAGAGCTGGTTTCTCCAGAAAAGCTGTAGGTAACCCTGTGGCAGGCAGTATGGCACAGTATAAGAAATAATTCTCCCCCTTGCTTCAGACTGATTTTCCTACAGAGGAGAAGGAACAGGGAGGAAGACCCCCATCCTCGGTGATGCAAGGTGTGGGGGAAGGAGAGTTGACTGCAGGAAGTCAGTCTTTGCTTCTCAGAGTGTGGTCCCAGCTAGCAGCAGCACCAGTATCACCCGAGAGCTTCTTGGAACTACAGACCATCAAACCCCACCCAGGCTCCATTGGACCCTGCACTGTGAGAAGGGCCCTCACTGATTCAAGTTAGCGCAAGTTTGAGGAGCACTGTTCTGAGTGCAACCATTACATATGCCCCCTAGTGGCTGCCCAGCAGTCAGTGCGCAAGGAATCGAAACACTCTCTCATTTCAGGACCTTTGCGCAGAACTGCCGAAACATTGAACATTTAAACCTCAACGGATGCACAAAAATCACAGACAGGTAAGTAATAATGATTAGTTTGGTGACTAAGCGGCCATGAGAAGAGTGAGGGGAAAGAAACTTGGTTGAAAATATCTTTAGTGCATCCGTTCTTTTTTCAGCACGTGTTATAGCCTTAGCAGATTCTGTTCCAAGCTGAAACATCTGGATCTGACCTCCTGTGTGTCCATTACAAACAGCTCCTTAAAGGGGATCAGGTAAAAGCACCTGCTGTTTGTAGTAAAGAGAAATACCCGAAGCTTGAACATACCAGCATGTCTGAAGCTTTTCCAATGGTCCCATTGGAGCTCAGGCAGGTCCCAGGGGTCATCTCCCTCCCTGAATTGCTGATGATGAATTAGACTGAAAGTTGGTGATAAACGCTTTACAGCAAAATCTGCACGCTAGTAATTTTGTTTCTGTCTCCCAGCGAGGGCTGCCGAAACTTGGAGTACTTGAACCTGTCCTGGTGTGACCAGATCACTAAGGATGGCATCGAGGCCCTGGTGCGAGGCTGCCAAGGCCTGAAAGCCCTGCTCCTGAGGGGCTGCACGCAGGTACCAGAGGGTCCGCGTAACTGTCCCTCCTTGGCGTCGGTCGGGGGAACTTAGCTTGCTGTTGCCTTTTTCATAGTGCCTCGCAGGTCTCTCCCTTCGGAGTCTCTCCATCTTTTGTTCTCTCTGTGCCCTCAGTTAGAAGATGAAGCTCTGAAACACATTCAGAATTACTGCCATGAGCTTGTGAGCCTCAACCTACAGTCCTGCTCAGTAAGTAGCATGCCCGTCCTGAGCCCCGTTCCGTCCCGTGCTCCGCCCTCGGGTCTGCCGCAGGCCCCGCTCGGCCTCATCCAGGCAGCTGGGACGGTGAGCAGATGCTGACGTCCCACACCCTGGTATCTCCCGGGTTCCTCTACGATCTGTCCGTTTGCCACAAAGTGAGAGGACAGCAGCAGCCAGAACAGGCATCAAACTCAGTCAAAGCCACTGGCCACTCCTCTGAATATAATATGGGCCAGGTCTTGATTTTTTTTTTTTAGTAGAGTATCGGGGAAGGGATCAGGAATACGATGAACGAGTCACTGGTGAGTTGTGAAACCTGAACAGTTCATGCTAAGAGCTCAGTGACTTTTTATCTTTTACTTAAAAAGATTAACTTCTCACATTGTCTTAGTGAATAAAATGAGAAAAACCAATGTGAAGATGCTTTGAGGGACCAGCAGGTGGCATGGTGGTTAAAGCTCTGGACTCCTGCTTGACCAACCAAGTTTAAATCCTGGTCCTGGCAGCTTGAAAAATCACTCTGGTTGCACATGTGTGCATGCCCAGAATCCCCAGAGGAGGCTGGAGGGGAAGGGGTTGCGCTGCGGCCATTCATTCCTGGGGGTGTGTGGGGGGGGTGATTTCTCACCTGTCTGTCTGTCTCCAGGCAACGCACATGACCTATGGTGAAAACCTAAAAGAGAAACATAAAGGGATGTACCAGAGCCAGGTGTCATCCTCATTAGGGCATTGGCCTATGAGAAACTATTGGTCGTCCCCACTGCCACTGTAAATTCTGACCATGGAAGAAGGCCTACCTTGCCGTGTAGTGGTTAGGAGCTAGATCCCACTCAGCCGGCAGTGGTTAGCATCTGAGCCCTGAGACTTGAAAAGCACACCAGCCACGTATGTGAGTGCCTGAAATCCCAGCAGGATGGAGAAACGGAGAAGGGATCGCAGCACGACCACACCCTTTTGGAGGATGTGTCTTCCCCCTCTCTCCAGTGCACGCACATGCCCTCCACCAGTTTAAAACAAAAAAGATAATCGAAGAAGATGCTTGCTGCATCCTGCTGTGTTTCAAGGGGAACATAGGTTTTGAGAAAGATAAGACAAAGTTCTTGCATTGTGCTTTTAAAAAAAGAAGAATTATTTACTTTATTTTATTTTTTATAATTATTTAATTGGACCAGAGAGAGAGAGAGGGAAAGTTGGAAAGCAAGCCACCAGGTCCGAGATTTGAACCATGGTTAGCCATGTGGGAGTCCAGTGCCTTAGCCACCATGGCACCTGCCGGCCCACATTATGTTTTTAAGGACTAGATTATACATCTGTAGAGTCCTTGGTGGTGGGGAAGAAAGCTACCTTCTGGACAAATCTTGACTTTATGAGCCTCGACTCTTCAAAAATGGGACCTTGAGTTGCACATATGATAGCACCAGCAGGTAACTTGAAGTGTAGGATAGCTATCCATGTTTATTTCTATGTGAATTAATACGCTAAGTGGAGATATTTTGGAATGATTTTATTTTGGCTAGAGTGTGTGTACACTCAGTGGAGAGAGAGAGCTATGGAGAAGCATTCCCCATCCAACACGCCCCCCCCCCCCCCCCCGCGCTGGGGCGCGGCGCCATGTTTTT